GCATCTGATGCGTGTGACGCGTCGTAACTAGTTATCTATTCCGAATCAAACCGCGCATGCCAAACGAAACAACACCGAACAGAGCGGAGGTTTCCAAACGAAACCAAACGACACGAAACCACACGTCGCGTGTTGTTTTGGAATAAAACCAAACGAAACGAAACCGCGCGATTTTGTGTCGTTTGGTTTGGTTTCGTTTGGTTTCGTTTGGTTTTGTTTGGTTTCGCTTTGTTTGGTTTCGTTTCATTTGGTTTCGTTTCGTTTGGTTTCGATATATTCCTAAAAATTGTTCGTTTGGTTTCGATTGGTTTCGATATATTGAAAAATCGTTCGCCTCAAAAAGGAAGGCGCAGAACCAACAACACTTAATATCTTCGATTTTTGAATATATCGAAACCAATCAAAACCAAACGAACAATTTTTAGGAATATATCGAAACCAAACAAAACGAAACCAAACGAAACGAAACCAAACGAAACGAAACGAAGCGAAACCAAACGAAACGAAACCAAATGACACGAAACCAAATTATTCCAAAACAACACGCGACGTGTGGTTTCCTGTCGTTTGGTTTCGTTTGGAAACCTCCGCTCTGATCGGTGTTGTTTCGTTTGGCATGCGCGTTTGATTCGGAATAGATAACTAGTTACGACGCGTCACACGCATCAGAGGCAAACTCCCCGCAACTCCCAGCGCTAATATACAGTTTCTGCCACATATGGATACTGCCAACAAAAAAGAACGTGCTGTTACCAGAATGGAATCTGAAGCGGCCTATGTCCCACGGTTGGTCAATCTCCACTGCAAACTCCATTGCACAAAGCTGACAACTCAAGATGCGGAGTGTGCAAATTGTGAAGAGACATTATCCAATTCAGCCTGCACTTTGGAACAAGCCGCGAAATCCACCATTGTCAAAGCTACAAAACTTGACTTAAAAGTCCACCGAACAGCCGCAAAACGAGTTTTTGTGAGGCACTCTACAACAAAGCTTCCAAAGCCTACATCACTCTTAATGATCTTGACCTCCAACAAATTCATAAATATGCGAACACCATCATGGACTGTCACCACGAGGAGATCACTCCTATTTTTGAGCTTCCTGACTTCACTACTAAGGAACATCTGAAGGCGAACTATACTCAATTCACTTCAGCCACAGAGCCTCTGCCAAATCCTTTCCTTGAGCCGGATATCCTACCTACCACTTGGAAACCAAGCTGCAGTTGCACCTGCGGCCAACTTGAATCCATATCACAATGCTGCCGCCGCAGCTCAAAACCAAAACGTTAATAGGCACATTGAGAACACTCTTGCCCACATTTGGCGATCCATCCGCACCTGTTTTCTTGACGCATGGGCAGCCTATCTTTGTCAACAAAAAGACAATGATAACGCCCTCCGTATGAAGAAAATGTTGACTGAACTTCTCACTAATGAAGCTACTGCTGCCACTGCAATGCAAATCGACCAAGAAACAGCCCTTCCTCCTGCAACCCTTGACACTCTCATCCAGAGAGAGGTGCTTAAAGCCACTGCTCCCCTTAAAGGTACTATTCATGGCCTTGAAACGCAGTTAAAAAACTCACAGAGAGGTCTACCGGGAACCTCTCTCAAACCACAAGCCCCGGCAAAGGAGGACGAGGACGCGGAGGAAGAGGACGCGGAATTCCAAACGCCGGTCGCACACCTCGACAGGATGACCCACAAGCCACAGAATCCGCCAACGCTTCCAACAGAGATTCTCAAGGCACCAACACCAATGCCTCGAGAGACAGATCGAACAACAAGCGATCGAACTCGTCCAACGCTGGCAACAAACGCAAGCACAGGTCCGGAAGAAAACGCAACTAGCTGTTTCTGCCAACCAATCCGGGAGTGAACCTTTACTAAGGAAAAGACCAGCCAAATAAAGGTAAAGGTAAAGGTAAAGGTAAAGGTAAATCGAAGGACAATAAGAAAAAGGCAGCATGTTATGTATGTGGCAAAGAGGACCATATGTCTCCAAAATGCCCAGACAGACTGCTACCAGAGATTCAATGGAAGCATCCAAAACATTATGTTGATTATGGGAAGAAGCTCAATCTTAATCAGATTGGAGGAACTGTCCCAGCTACAGTTCCTGGAACTTCTCCAGCGACAAGTATTATCACTGGTGGAAGATCAACTGTTGCGGGAAGTGTTAACACACCTTTGCGACTTGCTGGTACTACAGGTAATCAAATGATGCAAGTTCCTGCAGGAATGAAGCTCATGCAGATACCAACTCAAGGTGGTGGCAATGTTACTGTCCCTTACTCAAAGAATGCTAACGGTGAGATTGCGTTCAGTGGAATGCAACGCAGCCAACAAGGCTTCAGTGGTGCTCAAGTGCGCCAAGGATTTGATACAACTTAAGCTTGAACTCCGCAGGTCGTGAAGACTGGCTATTTTGATATGTCAAATGTCTTCCACGATGCTATCAAGGGAAAGGATGAGAATGGCAATGATGTCTATCATATTCCATTTCTACTGGAACGACTAACGTCAAACTTCAATCCAACTGGCACTATACTAGTGAAAGCAAAGATTTGCTACATCTTGCTACTGAAGCAGATTGAGTTTATTCAAAGCTCACGTCATCATGGACAGTGGTTGCACCAACACCACCATTTGTAAAGGTAAGCTCATGCATGGACTACGTCAAGCTGAGAAAGAGCTTGATATGCACACTAACGTGGCCAGCAGAGTTCTTGATGAAGAATGGTTTCTAGGAAGATTTCCGTCTCCAGTCTATTTTGATGAAGACAGAATTGCCAATGTACTTGCTATGCGCGAGATGATTGCTGCGGGATACTGCATTACCATGGATACTGATTTTGACAATGCCTTTGTTGTGCATTGCGATGGAGACAGACAGATGCGATTTGTGAATCGTAAGGGTGTATATGTGCTGGAGCAACTTGGAGTGGATGTCAAACCAGGTGCCAAAGAGACAAGTGCGATGTATCGTCGCCAGTTAAGCAGCGTAAATAAACAACCCCATTTCAAATGGATATGCTGGACTCGGGATGACCTCCAAGATGGCAACTGTTCAAAAGAACAAGGAAGGATTCACTCCAAGACAAGTCAAGGCTGCGATGGAAGCAAGAAGTGCAATGTACATACTCAATGCTCCAAGCACCAAAAGTCTGAAGAGTATGTGATCCGATCTGGTCTCATCAAGAACTTTCCTATCACTGAAGAAGCAATCAACCATGCCGAAGCAATCTTTGGACCTGACACATCTACATTGAAAGGCAAGTCGACAAGACCAACTCCGAAGAAGACACACGATGACTTCATCAGTCCACCAGAGGAATTGTACCAACACAATCGAACAATTACCGTCTGTATTGATCACATGGAGATCGGAGATGCTAAGTTTCTCACCTGCATTGATACCACTGTGTGTTAGTGCTCATGTATTCCCATGCAGAACCTCAATACTGGCCCTGTATTTGAAGCATTGGATAAGATATTCCGCCGCTACAATAAGGCAGGCTTTCATGTCAAGACGATCAAGTGTGATCAGGCCTTCATCCCTCTGACAGATGATATGCTAGACGATATGGGTGTTACTATTGACCCGACTGCAGCTGGAGACTACGAGCCTACAGCTGAGCAAAACAATAGGACGCTGAAAGAGAGAGTTAGAGTAGCTCTTGCACGATTACCCTACAAAGTGGTCCCAAAGGTGATCACTGAATGTCTTGGACGTCGAGCCGCCGAGCTATTGAATGTCTTTCCCCAGAAAGACAGTATTTCCTCACATTTCAGTCCGCAGCAACTCATTGATAATGTCAATATCAACTACAAGAGTGACATGGTTGCTGAGCTTGGACAATATGTTCATGCAATTGGGACGGATTCCATCAATTCAATGGAACCGCGAAGCATCAAAACAATCTACATTGAACCTACAAAGGGACAACGTACTGGGCAGCGAGTGCTCAACCTCAATACTAAGAAAATGATTTCTTGACCCAAGGTCGTAGTACTACCCGTTACCGACCAAGTGATCCAGCGTGTTGAAGCTTGGGCTGCTGCCAAAGGTGATACTTTCATGAAGTTCTTTGATAAGAAGAGAGATTTGGAGACATTTCAAGATGGCAATCAAATCGCAGGAGTGGATGACACGGAACAGGGTTACTTAGAAGAAGCCTTTGATCAGGACTATGAACCTGAAGATGAAGATGAACTCGATTTCAACCTACATGGACAATTCGATGATATCGATGACTCCAAAAGAAATGAGCTCTTGGTAGATGCAGACAATGATGTCGATGATATGCCAGAACTCACTGTGAGATTCCAAGGAGATGATGACTATGAATCAGATGACGACAATTTGGGTGATGAAGAGGAAGAAGTTATTGTGGCCAATTTGGATCACCATTAAGAAAATGATGATAGAGGAACCGATGATATTGGAAGCCTTGTTACTGATCTGGAGGATCTACAAGAACTGCCAGAAGAAGAGATTGTATTTGAGCCTGAAACTCCTCAAGTAGCAAAAGTCACTCAATCTGGGCAAACGTATGCGCAAGCTGCAATGTCTGGGCTGAACCTTTCTCAAGTTCCAAAGAAACCAAGAGAATGGCCTTCAAGCAGGAGTGGCAGTTCTGCCAATAAGAACAAGAAACGAGTTGCAACAAGATGCAAGCATCGAGAGAGGGAAATGAATCCGTTGAAGGACAAATTGAAATCTGGTATTTGTACCAAAGAAGGAAGTCGCAGTACTAAAGACAGTAAAGCCATCCTTGAAGCACAGCACAATCTACGTTTCCAACACATTGGGAATGAGATGAAAGCTGATTACCAAGAGCACAACGCTATTCTGATTGCTCGTTGCATGATGCAGATCAAGGCCAAGTTCAATACTGATGAAGGTCTAAACTTCATCGAACAGTATTACATCAATCAAGGACTGAAGAACCAAGTTTGATGATGATGGAAAGGATACCGTGGATAAGGAATTGAGACAAATGCTCCTGAGAGATTGTTTTACTCCCAAAGTTGTGGAAGACATGACCGCGTCTGAGCGAAAGAAGGCCCAATAGCGATGACATTACTCGTGGAAAAGCAATTCAAAAAGTCAATTAAAGGTCGCCTAGTATTCCGAGGCGATGGCACTCATGAATGGTTATCGCGAGAGGACACTGCAAGTCCAACTGCTTCACAAGAAGCAATCACCACTACTTGTGTTATTGATGCACACAAAGGTAGAGATATAATGACGCTGGACGTGCCTAACGCTTTCATTCAAACTTATATGCCTGAAGCTAAGGAAGGAGAAGATCGTATCTACATGAAAATCACTGGCATGATGGTCCAGATATTGATTGACATGGCCCCAGACTATTGTGAATATGTTGTATTAGAGAACGGAAAGCGAGTAATCTATGTGCGGGTGCTACGTGCCATATATCGGATTTTACAATCAAGCCTCCTATTCTATAATCAGTTTCGAAGTGATTTAAAGGCAAAGGGATTTGTTTTCAATCCGTATGACCCGTGTGTTGCTAACAAAGTTGTTAATGAAAAACAGCAAACTATCAGGTTTCATGTTGACCATCTTATGTCAAGTCACATGGATCCAAAGGTAAATGACAAATTTGCTAAGTGGTTGAACATGAGATATGGTTCAATCAAGGCATGCACAATGGTCTGAGGAAAGATACACAGATATCTTGGAATGACTTTGGATTTCTCGGTGAAAGGAAAACTCAAGATCCGCATGGATGACTATCTCAAGAACATGTTGGAGCATTTCCTATCAAGTTCAACAAGGATTCAAAGCAAGAAACACCAGCTGGTAACAATTTACTGGAAGCTGGTAAAGGAAAGTTACTCAATGCTGAGTGCCGTCAGATCTTTCATACTACTGTTGCAGGGGACTTTATGTCTCTAAGAGAGCTAGTTTGGACATCCATTCAACGAATACTATTCTTGCCTCAAGAGTTTGAGGATATTTGTTTTGTACATTTTTGTATCACCTGACACTTTCAGCTGAATCACTACGAGTCATGAAAAGGATGAAAGACGCATCATTTGGGGTACATCCAGATTTCAAAAGCCATACTGGCGGCACTCTATCCTTTGGAGGAGGTGCAGCTCAAGTGATGTCAACAACAACAAAAAACTAAACAGCAGAAGCAGTACGGAAGCGGAACTAATTGCTGTTGACGATGTTGTCACGATGATACTATGGACCAAGTTGTTCATGAAGTGGCAAGGATATCCAATTGAGAAAAATATCTTGTATCAGGATAACAAAAGCGTGATTCTTCTGGACGAGAATGGTCGTAAGATCAATATTCGTTATTTCTTTATCACAGATCAAGTTGAAAAGGCAAATGTTAAGATCGAATACTGTCCAACTGACAATATGACTGCGGATTTCATGACCAAGCCATTGCAAGGTGAGAAATTTTGCAAGTTCAGAGATCTGATTCTTGGTACACACGACTAGGTCAGACAAGTATGTATATGTTCAAATGAAAATACAAAACAAAATAAACAATGAATGAGAGCATGTCCCATTGCTGCCAATGATGATTGTCACAATGGCAGGAGTGTGTTGGAATATGACGAAATATGAGTTTTGACGTTCCAAGAAAAACTATTCAAGTATGAAGTTTTGACACGCACGATCGGACTTTGATTGTGATGTCAGGATTTGATGCAAGTCTGCCGGACAATCTATATCCATACAAAAAGAGAAATACCCAATACAAGTGGAATATTGAGGTTGTGTACGTTGCAGTAGGGAATAATACAAGATGTCCCAAAGTACTGCATTCAACACAGATTCCTCGTAGAAGTTGGATTGAGTTCTGTAAACAAGGGATTTCCCAAAAGGAAACTCGTTGAACTCACTTTTGTGATTGAATCATCAATTCAAGCCAAACATTAATCAAATAGGAACAATTTCACTCAAAGTATACCTAACACAGGAGAACTATAATTGTGGAAGCGTTGTACAGTCAATTACGAATTTAGATTGCAGAGACTTTGTTCTGAGCGCAAAAGGCACTCAGTCTGCATATTTCTAACAGGAACAAGTACAATGGTCCTTAAAGGTCAAATCTAAGCAAATCGGATAAAATATGTTCTTACTAGAAGTGCCTTTAGCTTGAGGATCCACAATCAAGGGATAAGTGCCCCGTTGGACCACTGGGTTGAGCATTTCCGACGGAGATTTCCTTCCCAAAGGAGTGACAGCATGATTCCACACAGATAGTGGACTGGTGTTCTGAAAGGGAGCATTTTCTTTATCATCCCAAGTACGTTCTGTTGTCTTTGACTTTAGTACGTCCGAACGCCTTGAAGACGCAGCTTTTTTGTGGCAAAGAAAGTTGAGATATCGCCCACTAACATTTGTTCGGAGCTGTATACCAACCAGCTCCCCAATTGCGCTGTATGCAAGTATAGTAGTCATGAAGAACGTTTACCACACTCTCCGTCTGAGCCATAAAATCTGCACTGTTTGTTCTTGATGGCACCGACATAAATACCGCATTACAGTCATTTGTGGGCCACGCATCACTAATACCATAATTTTCCACATCATGTCCAATGCGGTGGTCAACGAACTTCTTCAGAATATGAACAAGTTCGCTCAAATCTCAAATGTAAGCAACTGTACATTGTGCAGGTGTTTGAGCCCATCTATGACCCAAATTGGTGTTAAGGACATATTGACAAATGTGTTGCAAACAATGACCAAAGAGTGAACTGTAGAAGAGCTCATCATTGTAATCTCCGTTATCCAAAGTTGGGTTTGTAGAGCCCAAGAGTGCAAAATGATAGTATATCACCATCGCTAATTCTTTCATCTGCTGCCAACTTAAGCCGTCATGTGGAAGGTAATCACAAAATACATGGTAGGAATGCTAGCAGTGAAAACCGTTTGGACGTTCCTGGCAGTGGAGCACTGTCAGGATCCACCCACCATGTAGCAATATAAAAACTACGCTTGATGAAGTCACTGTCCATTACGGACCGCAAATCACGGTGTAGCTCTCCAGCTTGCGAGAAGGTTCCCAATTGGTAGTTGGTTTGGTACTCGATAGCCGTACAGACAATATTCGCTGCCACGTTGCCATCATTTTTGTAATCAAAACCTTCCAGACATCTGTGTCCAATTTCTGTTGGTAGTCCAAATTGGAGAACGTCAGATGCCATTCGATCGCCAAGAAATTTTTTCACCATCCCCACCGTAAAAGGGATTGGATGCAACAACCAATATCTAATTGCCTTCAATTCTGGGGAGCAACAACGGCGCTCTATGTCCGAATTAATACTGGAAGTTTGCACAGGGGTATATTTGGACCGCAAATTTGGCTTGTTTGTGGTGAATCCGGGATGGGCCGGATAATAACCCATCAGATACATTGCACCTCCATACCCTGCTGGGTAAGATAGATTTGGATGCAAAGCAGGATACATTTGAGGTGAGGGCATCCCTGGCAATGCCAGAAACATCTGTTGATGGTGCATCAGTGTTGGCAACCCAGGAGCAGGCACCCCCCCCCCCCTGTGTTATGTCCAGCAAACTGGGACGGACCCCAAGGGTTAGCATCAATTTGGACGCGTGGACTTGTTGGAAAGGAGAATTCCATGTTGAATCGTGGATTCCAGTAGGAGGCATACCTTGGGCTGGCGACTAGAGCGGTATGTTTGTACCGTTCATAACACCAGCAAACGGATTACCTCCTGTGCTGGCATCGCAGAAACAATTGGAATCTTGATGAGTGACATTCATGTGACAATTCTGCAAAGGAGATGGCGTCACCGCTGGCAACCGTCCATCCGCAAAAGGTTGGGTCCCAGCATGGTTGTCACATGGCAAATAATTAGTTCCGTGCCCATCTTCAAAGTTGCCATCCTTGGTCAGGACCATCCCATGACTTGTCTTCATCTTCATTTGGGAAGAGGTAGTTGACAAAGGCTTGACATTCAGGAGGTAAAGTTGTACCCAAAGCTTCAGGAAAGGAATCTGATACATGCATATTGTGCATCTTGACACAAGCATGCATCTTGAATCCAAGAGGTGACGTTGGCAAAGATTTACTGCAATAAATGATTTGCATTAGATGGCTTCTGATGAAACAATCCATTTTTTCTTGGAATGGGCCGAGCAAGGCCTTATCCAAGACTTGATTGTCATCAAGATCATCCTTGGTGGGGAAAGAATACCGGAGCAGCATAGCGTTTACCACTGGGACAGCAGAACTTGCAGGACTGTCTTTAATTGCTGTGAACCAGGATTCAATAAGTGTCTTCCGTGTCTTCAATAGGTGAAGAAGACCCGAGAATACCTTTTCCTGATTAGAAATACTATTCTGAAACTCGTCAAAACCGTCGCTTGCGGGCCAAACAAAACCTACAGGGCAAGCAGACATGGTTGGGAAGAAAAGAATTTTCCAAACATCGCCATTGAATGGTTTATTCCCAATTGCATTGCCGTCTGTCAACAAAACAGGAAGAAGAGCTTTGGCAAATTTGATTTGATCACCAGTCAAAGGTGACGCAGAAGTATGTCCGGACATTGATCCCAACAGAAAATGGGTATATTTTATGGGATCGGTAACATACTGGTGCGCAAGATCATTGATGACAATTTCCCCAAGGGGAGCCAAAGTTCCACACGTATTGGGTTCCAATATATCCGGTTTGGTCAAGACCAAATTGGAAATAAACATATTGTGACATGGCTGTCCATCTTCACCTTTCCTGACTAAAAGGGCAAAACCAGGAGACAATGTTTCTCCATTTCTCATCCGCTGGGCTGTAGTCAACTGAGGCTCGATCCACTTGTCAACGAGTTGCTCCAACTCTTCCATCCATTGATCCTTGGGCTCCAAATCCTCTGGGCAAGTCACCTGATATACCGGGGTGGTGGTATCCGTGACAGGGTGGCCGAATGATTGATGGATTGTTTTGTCCAATCTCATTCAGTTCCTTGCCTAGGATTGATGAGTTGATCGTGGATGGTCGAGTCTTTATGGGGCTGACGAGTGAGCTGATCCCAGAAGGTACGGCCGCGGGTTCCATGTTCCGACGCGAAAGTATCAGTCAAAAACTTCATGATTAGGCAGCAATCAGGGATGGTACGGCGGAAAGAGAAGATGAAGGAGCACTAAAGGTTGGGTGTGATAGAGCGTAAATTCGACAGCTAACACAGGCAGTTTTCGCAGATCAGATCTACTACTCTTCCCAACAACTTGACTAGAGAGCATTGAAAGAAAGAAAGAAAGAAAGAAAGAAAGAAACGTATTTCTTGATGTATACTTGCACATAAGTTTGATAAATTGATCGGACTTGGTGTTGCGGAGCAATGCTGTTCTTGTGACCGGCGTTCGACCGTCGTCAGTATGATGAAAGGAATCCAATGATTCATTCATTTGTTCTTGAGCCTTCTTCTCTTAGAGGGTTCAAGTTACAGCAACACAGGGAGGTCCTACTGAACACTGCCTGTATGTTGTACGTTCCCCCATGACTGGGTCAATCATGAAACTTGTATAACGGTTTTTCCGCCAGCGTAGCATTTTCCGAGCATGCAAATACGGAATCTATTTATTCAGCAGTACTGCTGAATTCCCTTCTCAACTGCTGAATTTTTCAGCAGTACTGCTGAATAAATAGATTCCATTTTTCAGATTCCGCCACCACGCAAAACAATAAAACTGATAGTCGTCTCAAGACAAAAATGATTTACTATTAATATTTTATTGTAGATTAGCAATCGTAAAACCAGTCCTTTAGGGATACGAAATCAATGACAGGATCGTAAAAGTTATTTTCATCATCCTTGTATCGCTTTCCTTGTTGCTTTGCAAGTCTCTTCTCCTTTTTCTTCTTCTTTACCAACATATATGCGGAATCCTTGTTTTGCCTAGTCTCCTGATAGATGTGGCCCCAAAAAGTTTTCAAGTAAAACGCTTTGTACTCATCGCATTGTTGGAGGAGCATTTTGGGCTTCATGTCCTTGTGCTTGCCATTTTCGACATCAACTCTAAGGAAAGCTTCTGCTGGTGACCCATGCCATTCGCCGTCCGTGTCTTTGGCTCCTAGAGTATGATTGGTCATATCGTGCAGTTACCCAGTATAATCTTTGTTGGCTCTTGCTGGACATCTTTGAACATCTGTTTCACAGTCTTTGCATCGGCATAGAAATCGTCCGTGAAGAAGCTTTGTCACCTAGTCTTGGATAATCTATCGATTTGTTCATTGCTCCAGCTGCTTCCTAGAACCGTTCCTAGTTCCAGGAACTCATCTGCAGAGAAGCGGATCCTCATGGTCGGTTGATGAGCTGCTCTGGCAGGTTGTTGTGTTGCTTGTCGGAGGTGTTGTCAAGAAGGTGTTGATGGAGGTTTATATCTGGCGATTGATTGGCGATTAATATAACAGGAATGACAAAGGGAATTTTAAAATTCAGCGAACTGTTGAAAAATTCAGCAGTACTGCTGAAATATTCAGCAGTACTGCTGAATTCCCTAATCAACTGCTGAAAAAGTACTGCTGAATAAATAGATTCCGTTTTGTCAGATTCCGTCGCTTTCAGTTGGCGCGCACGCATGTTAATAATTTAACGGTCATAATTCGCGATGCCTACTGGGACGGCCGGGAAATAGAAATTTAGCATACAATTCTTGGGAGTGAATATTGATTTTCCCGGCCGTTCCTGTAGGGTGCAGGTTTAGTGCTACGGACGCTGAAAGGACTATCCAGCAGGACCTCCCTGTGTTGCAGTCAGATGTGTGCGAAACACCGGTCGAACGCAAGCTATATTTTTTGTCACCTGATACTATAGATGCTGGACCATGAAACGGTGGCCAAAGATGCAATACTTTCCATGTTCCGTAACCTTCAAAAGCGTAGCCAAGTTAGCAACAAAGATGGCACCAACATTAACAGAGAACGACGAGCGTTGAGGAAGAATTCTCCAGGTTTGCTTTTGAGGAAATAACATTCCCAACTTCTTCCGGCCAACCTTCTTGTCTATACTCTGACACTCCTACGCTTGGGAACTCCTACTGTGGTCTACGGACGAAGAACCAATGCAAAAACCAGAAGTCTTCGGTGGGCACATCCACACCTCCATAAAACGAAGTTTGAAACCTCGTTTTAAAGATTCAGCAATGGAAGATTGGGCAACCTCCTCTAGAAGCCAGGCAGGGCCTCCATTCCCCTTCCACAAGTCGTCATATCCGTTCGATGGTTCGAAAGTTGATTCCACATGTAAGTTTTCCATCGCAGCTATTGTAGGTGATCATCAAGCATTCGTGGTGATATGCTGACAAAAAGCTGAAAATATAAAGATCCCTTCCAAGCAAGCGATGAGGAACTCCTTTCCGTGTACGCCGAGGAAAGGGCCCGAGCGCAGAGGGCTAGATTTGAAGAGTCGAAGGAAGAAACCAAAGAAGAAGATGATGACTTAGACTATAGGTTCCAAACCTCGTTTATTCGTCCCGGGTCCGAGCAATCGAAAGAAGGGACGAAAGAAGGAGATGATACACTAGACAATAGATTCCAAGCCTCATTTATCAGGGCCAGGTCTGTGGAGTCAAATGAAGAGACAAAAGAAGAAGATGTTGAAATGGACACTGGATCCACTCAATGCTTGGACTACTACGAGGAAGAGCTCGAAATCGATCCCACAATACTACCCACTGGGTCAGCCAATTTTTGTATTGTAAATTGTGAATCGTGTACTCCGCCTCCCATCAGCTGGATCATTCAAGCAATCTACAGCGCAAGGCATGATCTAAGATTCAAGCTCAAGACGCCACAGGGTGCCCACATGCTTCTCTATGCAGATGAGATTATTGACTGCGTCCTAGTCCTGATTGACGAGGACGATGGAAGTGCTTACTTTCAGATTGAAGACTTGTATGGAAACATTTTATTTGCTGATTGCGATCAGGTGGAAGCTCATATACTTTACATAATCTCCACAGAAACGAGAAAAAGACAAGCCACTGTGGAGCATGCCACGATGGATCATGAAACTTTCTCCCATCATGCCAAGCCCAAAAGACGCCGAAAGCACAGCGGACCGCTTGTCTCTGGTCTTCGCAAGCTATCGGGGCTAGTGAAGCAATGCCGCACATCATCTCATAGTAGCTAATGCCTTGATTGGTTACAGTAACAATTGCAAACCATGTGTCTTCTATTTCGTGTCTTTGTTCAAGAGATTGTGATTCACTTTGACCGTCAGTTCTGCAACCGGATATATTCATTGAAAAGCCTTGAGGGGGCTTTGGAATGAGACTGAGTAACGAAGATTCAGTGTCCTTGTCATCCGTTGTACCCTCTAGAAAGCAATAATGCTGCATAATGAGGACCCGTTCTTCCATTTCATCTAGAAACTCACATCGATTCGCCCGTTGTCGCTGTTCGGCAGTGACAACACTTTGATAGGCAGACCACATGTTGCATCCACTTGCTTTTGCAAATCCTGCTTCTACAAGCTTCTCTATTTGACTTTGTAGGGTTTTAGTTCGTACCAGACAGGAGTCTTAAGTGGCAACACCTACTTGCAATAGATTCTGTTGCATCGTTTTGCCAAAGGCGTCGCTACCCAGAATTGGCTCATAGCAGACCGCTGAAGCATTCTTGACAGCAGTGGATAGTGCGGAAAGTAGATTCTTTGAGTCTGGATCTGGAACTGGAACATACATGAGGACACGTTCCGTTAGGAATAGAGTCGGTACTGAGGCATCCAGATTCAACTTCTTTATCAGTACCGATGGATCCTCACGAATATCATGCCCAATCAGTGTGTAACTCTGATAATTCGTCGTGCAAGTGAATCCATGGGATGTTGCTTTTTGTCAGGATATTGATATATACGGTAGAACTGCTCGGCCACGCGTGAGAGGCGCTTTTGCTTGTATGGTACACAGTTGACGATTAACAGTCGCATAGCCAGAAGGTCTCAAGTTCGAGTCTTGACTACCCCTGAGTGTTCTTCTGCCCATACAATACTCAATATCCCAATTCCTTTCCAAAGGTCTGCCCATACAATACTCAATATCCCAATTCCTTTCCAAAGGTCAGGAATGTCATGTAGGTCTGTGGAAAATCACAGCAGTGGCAATGTTCCCACGTATAGCCCCGAGAGCTACAGTATCACCTATAGGTATCAATGTCTAGTACGAACACCATCACTGAGGGGATAGGTGCACGGTGGGAGGTCAGGATATTGATATACGGTAGAACTGCTCGGCCGCGCGTGGGAGGCGCTTTTGCTTGTATGGTACACAGTTGACACTTTTAGTGGATACTGAAAAGACAACTCCATCTGAAATATCCTCTGGAGGCTGGGTATCGGGGCAATCTTGAATCCAGAACTTTTTCTCTATTTTTCTTCTCTTCTTTCCCTTGTTTTCTCGATTACTGCCACCTTTCCGACGTTTCGCGGACTGTTTGGAAGGTGCCATGGTGGAAGTGTTGTAGGAGAATGTTGCATGTCAAATATCTTCACACGAAACGATTCAAACGAAACGAACGAGGCTCTTACATTATGCAGGTGCAATTTTTAGTGGGTTTTCAGCCAATGAGAGTTAGTCAAATCACCAAAAATCAACCCATTTTTAGTGGTCTGAACCAATCACAGCGGGCCATTCACTAAAAATAGACAATCTCCACAAAGCTAGTACTCGTCATTACTTGCAAATTATGATTATAGGGGGATGGTACCTGGTATCGTAGGCCCAGGCTAGATACGGCCCTGCCACTCTGCCATTGTATTATAAAGCACTGTCACACCTTGTCTTAATGATTCACCTTACCACTGGGTTACGAGCTAGCGATACAGTTACCCTATGATCACTTCTAGCTGCTCTGAAGAACGGGGGATGTGGCAGCTACCAAACCGAATTGACAAGCGGTACAGCATGAGGCGACGGATACGCCCATCTGTAGAAACTTTGTTTTCAATCTTCTATTTATATTATAGATTAATTTCTATCGTTTCAGTGTCACTTATGGTAGCATGCCCCTGTAAGAAACTGATAACAACTGCCATAGTTGCTAGTAGTAGGTGTCACTTCACCTTTGGAATCTAATCATTGTCTCAATTCCGTGCACCAAGGCCTTGTTGATTGTTTTCTCGTCAGAATAAACCCATCCCCTGTGACCATACGGTAGTAAACTGTCGTAGCGCGGCCTTATGGTGGAAACTTGGCCATCAAGGAACCCAGCAAGAGTTTGCCTCTGTTTTCGCCTTTGCATCTTACTCAAAAAACGGTTGATTATTGCATTTCTTCAATCATGTAATACACATGTAGTCTCTTTGGCGGCGAGCTTGTGCCTGGATTTGGTCCTTCCTCACCTTGCTTGATTCCCAAAATATTGAGTCCATTGACGACGCAAAATCTGACTACCATCATCAATGACGTCAACTTCTGCGCTGCATATCTGGAAATGTTCGTGACCTCAAATTCAGAGTGCGATAAATCTCCGATTTCTGATTGGATCTGCGATATGAAGGCACAGATGATGTTATTAGAGGTGCTCGAACGTCATTTCAAAAGTTTCAGAGGCATCGGTCAACATACATCAAACAATCATTGTTACCTTGTTCAAAATCCGTCAAAATCCTGGCTAGAGCCAGGGTCATAGAGCATATATTCTTGCGACGGTATGCATGAGGCCAGTGCTGTGTTGTAAAGACACTTTATTGCAATCCTGTTGCTCTCTCCTCTTTTCTTTTCTTTCCTCTTCGTTTTCTTTTCTTTCCTTTTTCTTCTTCTTTGCCCTTCTTTTTTCCCTGGGGATTTCTTATAAATAGTTGCACCAGCATAGTATAAAAGCCCGAAACGATTCAAAGGACTTTGAAACGATTCAAAGGAATTGAAACGAGTCATTGCGACGGACGAAATGATTCAAAACGTTCAGTAATGCCCCAGCTCAGGGGTGCGGGGAAAGCTGTTCAGTAGTCAAACTAGTCGATTGACGGACGAGTTGCGGAGGGTAATACGGTACATATTTATCGCATTATTGTCCGCACAACGACAAATCCAATTTCGAAATCCTAACGTAGACAAAAGCTCGAGAACGAATCATTGGATTCCTTTCATCATACTGACGACAGTCGAGCGACCGTCACTACAGCATTGCTCCGCAACACCAAATCCTATCAATTTCTCAAACTTGTGTGTGAGTATACATAAAGAAATACATTTGTTTCTTTCTTTCCCTCCCTCCACATCCCTGTTAGGCCGTGCATTGATGCAAGCATGGCCTCGTAGGCAAGCGAGTCTCTGATATTCCGCTTTGCGGGATTAATCAAAGATTACCCGGCGCCGCCTCCACTCCTGGGCTTGAATCGCATGATGTAGTCTTTGTCTGGAGAGATCGCGCACCTATGCTACCATGGAAACTGTGGCAAAAGCCTGATGCTACATACGAGAAGCGAGTAGGTTTGGCACAGTAGCGAGGTACTAAGTTAGTGACTGGTTTGCACCGAGGTCGAATCATAGGATTCGAAAAG